ATTTTTTTATTATAATTCAATTTATATTTGATAACAAATTAATTTATTTTTGTTTTAATAATATACTTTTTATAAAAATAATAACCAAGTATTTTGTTAGAAATCAATAATTGTCTTAATTATAATTTAGATTTTTTATATTTAAGATGAGACGTTTCTCATGTATTTGATTATGTTTATCTGCAGTTAGTTACATGAATTAAAAAACAAAGCTTTAATAAGTTGTACATATGCACAGTTTATTTGTAATATTGAATTTTAAGCAATATGTATCAGTAAACAGTATTAATGCATAAAAAAAACAGTTTATAAAAGTTTTTGTCAAAAAAATTATAATATAGTATAGACGTATGAAAATTTATAATGATTTAAAGATGTAGTAAATGAAATAAATAAAAAGCATATAAAATAATTTCATTTTATCATTTAATAATTGATTTGATTTCAAATAATATTAAAATGAATGTTTAACCCTCAAATTATAAAAACAAGATACTAAAACCCTAAAAACTAATTATTAAAATTTAATTTGATAATAACCTAATTATTTTATAATATATTATAAACATTTGACAAAAACTCTTAAAAACCACTTTTTTATGCATGAAGTACTGTTTATTGATGCATATTAATTAAAACTCAATATTACAAATAAATTGGGGCGTAAGTACAACTTATTAAAGTTTCATGTTTGAATTCGTGTAACTAACTGCAGATAAACATAATCAAATAGAGAATAAACATCTCATTTTAAATATAAAAATCTAAAACATAATTAGAAAAATTATTGAGTTCTAACAAAATACTTGATTATTATCTTTATAAAAAATATATTGTTAAACCAAAAAAATGAAGTAAAGAAATACACAAAAAAAAAAAAAACAAAATAGTTAGTTTCGTACTAATATCAATATTTTTTTTCAATTATTTATGATATCTTCATATTTATATTTTATTCAAAAATAAAAACATTATTGATTTCTCATAACCACATAAAACCGTATTATAACATCAACTAAAACAAAAAGATAAATAAAACAAATCATCAAAATCAATATGTATCTCACTGCATTGTGCGAGTACCTATCTAATACTTCAAAAATGTAAATTCAAAACCCTTAGGCCTTGTTTGTTATAATATTATTTAAATGTGTTAAATACCGTTAATGACATAGTTTTCG